ATATTCTTGGAAAGTACTGAAAAGTATAAAGAAAAAGTATCCTTATTACATCCCAACCAGAAGCAACCACTTTAAAAATACTTTGGATCCAGGTTTACTATTCTAAACAATTGGTATATATCTTTGGGCATAAATATTTACGATTATTTCCTTAGGGGAAATTTAAAAAAGAGGGATTGCCCAATTAAAGGACAAATATTTTTAGCCTTCTTTTATATTAGATATAACATTATTCCTCCAAAAATCTAAGTTGATAGAACAAAATATGATGTTTTCTATGAAGGGAGTTGTGTGTTCCTTGTCTCCACACAGGACCCAGCTCTCCCTGAAAGGCTCTCTAAGGAAGAAGTCTGATTTCCTTCAGCAACCCCTATGGTAGTGGTGGCTAAAAGATTTCATCTTATTTGGTCATTTGGTAGTAGTTGCTTTTACTATTGAGTATTGTGGTGGTATGCACACTAAAAACCGTCCCTGTTAGAACCTTTTCTTGGTACCTAAATTAAATACTTTAGGAACATTTTGTCTCCATGATACAGTATCTTGCACTCAATATTAAACCAAAAGGAAATTGTTTATCTTCAACTCTTAATACATTTTAATGCTCCTTTCATATTAATTTGAGCTATTATAAAGAGAATAATCTCTTTCCTTTCTAACTGTGGATTGGTAGGTATGAAAAATCAGCCTGGCTTCGGCTTGAGGAGTGGAATAGTTCAAAAGCAGTTCTGAGGCACCTGCGAATGCCTACGAGTTGAAAAATCAAAGAAATTATGGTCGTTGCTGAGGATCCAGAGATATTACTGGGTGTTTGAGTGTGGGTATCTGTGAGCGTGCATTTATGTAGGTGAGTGTGCATGTGCGTGTATGTGCGTGTGGTTGCTGACCAGTGTCCACAAGTTTCACCTGCTCACTTAGACTGGTCGTAGGTTGGAGGTTAGTGGGGTGAGATCAAGATTGTTGGAGGACTAGAGGTGAGGTAGGTAAAGCCCTAAATGCAGTACTGGTGATTACAAGGAATCAATAAAAAAATAACAAAAACATGTTGGTGAATTATTGTAAGTGATCCTTCAAGTTCACATAGCTGGTTGGTAGTGGAGTCAGGACAAGAAGTTCCAGTTTCTGATTCTGAGTCCAGTGTTCTCACCAGCAGAAAGCATCAGTTCTGAGATGCCAGGTGCTTTGGCAAAAACGGGCTATTGCAGTGGTTGACCCTATGTAATGTCCTGTGGAGGCAGGGCAGGGCAGGGCTGACTATTACCCTAGAAAAAGCTAAAAGAATTGGCCATCCCATAGAGACCTTGATTAAACCACCTTTCTTTTGGACCTCAAGATGGTGACAGGAATACTCAGTAGTCAGCAGCTTGGGATTCCCCGGGGATTGTTATGGATAATGGCAGTGAGTCATATTTTGAGCACATATGGTATGATTTGATTCCTTCATTAATGTCTTTGCATGGGAGTCTTCAAAATGCCCCTAATCTTAGGAAATCTAATTTGAATAGCTCAAAATTATATAACTGAGGACAATTTTCTACTAATCAGTTTTGTCATCCCATTTGTTTAAAATTTAATGTAAAGTTTTGGCCATTTTTAATTATCCATTTTCTGTGAGAACCAGAGTAATCTCTCAGATCCTCCCTCTCTGTACTATAAATACTATGCTGTTTGGTAACTGGTCAGAGAGGTTCAGAGGTTGTGCCTCTGAAGCTTTTCTTGGAGATCAGGTTCAATCACAGGGGTAACAATGAGGCAAAGCAATGAATTTGCCTGATTTCTAAGGACGATGGATCCTTTGTGTCATACAACAAATCTCCATATTATGACTGTGGGACCCAGGTTTGGCTAAGCTGAATACCACGGCTCTGGTTATATGAAGATGTTTAGGGGTGGCTACATGACTCAAATAGTGCAATAAGTTTTATCAGAATTTTCTTCTCCTATAGATATCAGGAAAGAGATACTTCCTCTGGGCAAGGTACCCAAGCTGAAAGATGGCATATGCCTAGAAATATGAGCAGCCTGTGAGGACATCCTGCCTGAGAAGCAAACTGACAGAGAGGAAAGCAGAACTGAGGTATGGACAGAAAAAAAGTAGAATCTTGGTCATATCCCTTGATCCAGCTATGCCTGAAGCCAATGCTGGCCTCAGATGACCTAGTTACCTGTCAATGCCCTCTTTGTCTTAAAGTCATGCAAGTTGAGTGCATGTCACTTAAATAGGTCCTTTACTTGCATGATTTCACTATGCTTATTATCCCCATTCCATAGAAACCGAGACTCAGAAAGATTAAGTGCTTTGCTCAGGCTAACACAGCTGGGAAGTGAGGTGGCCTTGCCTTGAGGTTGGGCTGTTCTGACTCTGTAGCTCATGCTTTTTTAAAAAAAATTTATTTATTTATTTGTCAGAGAGAGAGAGCACAAGATGGTGGTGGGGGGGGGTGGGGAGCGGCAGGCAGAGGGAGAAGCAGGCTCCCCGCTGAGCAAGGAGCCCGATGCGAGACTCGATCCCAGGACCCCGGGATCACGACCTGAGCTGAAGGCAGATGCTTGACGACTGAGCCACCCAGGCTTATGTTGTTTCCATAGCTTGATTCAGCCTCAGTGAGTACAGCTAATTGAGCTGGTAAAGCCAGCCTTCGACAGCATTAAGAGGACAGGTATTGGCTCTCCTGTTTTACTAGCTCTTGGGCAGGCCAATGATATTAGACACTTTAGGCTGGTGCATTGAGGGTCAGACAGGCTAAATGTCGTCCCTGGATCCCATGCCACATGCCTGCCTGCTCTGGAAATTCCTTTTGATTCAGGCTTCTCAACTTGCGGAAACCACTAAGTGCATGGGATCAGACCTCATTGGCCTCCAGGCAGCCAGGCTACTGCTGAGTAGACAGATTCTGCAAGCAGAAACATTCCAGAAGACGCCCTCAGCTTTGAGGTGCTGAGACTCCCCCCCTCCATATCCCGAAGCTTAGGACAAAAGAGCAGGAGCTGTTCAAATGTGAGATAATAGTAATTTTAATATTTAGTTCACAAAACATGCAGGTCAATAGTCAATGCATATACAATAGGACAGAGCAACAACAAAAAAATTACAAAGCCCAATCTAACTACATGGAGGCTTTCAAACAATGAAGTGTGGGATAGAGACTGTGCTGATTAAAAACCCAGCTGAGACACACCTCAGTGCCTCAGACCTGACCAAGGAATTTCTGGTGGTAGGAAAAAGAGCTCACTGTGCCCATGGCCTTCAAGTTAAATCCTGAGAAACTTCACAATCTCCATGCCCTGGACTGCTCAGTTTTGTCTTCCCCCCATCCCTGCATTTTTTCTTTCTTTCTTCTCTTCTTGAATTATCTATCCAACCTTTATCCCATCTCAATGAGTTCCATGAATACTCTGATGTAGCCTAGAACCATTGCTGTCTCAGTGAGAAGGGTCTCTGAGTTTGCTTTGGCCGTTGGTGAACAAAATTCCTCTCTGTTTAATGGGCTGTGATCTGGTTTTCCCCAGACATAATCTGTTGAGCCTGAAGACCCCTATGAATAGTCACCCATCTCCCTGGAGGGAGGCCACTTTCATAAGCACTATTGGTACTAAGGACTTTTTTCCCCAATAATAACCCGATGGTGAGATTTCCCCAGTGCCAATGCTGCTCCCTGATTGGGTAGTTTTGAGACACTGCCCTTATTTTAGTTCCCAGGGGACCTATTCTGGCTCTGGTGCTGAGATGGAATTCTGGTGGCCTCGAAGGAGTTTAGGCTTTCTGCAGCAGGGATGTGAACACAGGGAAGGTGTGTGGCTGCCAAGAGCTTTCACTTCTTGAACATCCAATGGTCCAACCACTGTAGGTGAAGTTAGTGAAGGGAAGAGCTCTCCCAGTAACAAAGCTGACCACAGTGCCTAGAAAGTGCTCCTGTCGACTGACAGTGACCTTCTAGGGTGCACAGGCGTCACTTGCCATAACATTACCTCCAGGCTCATCACTTTGTTGTTGCTGTTGTCTTTTGAAAGAACTGGTTTTAACCCCCTCAGTTTCATCATTTGGTTTTTACAGGGTCACACTGTATGTGTCCTGTGTAGTCACAGTCCCGGAGAGTTCAAAGGGAAACAATTAGGATCAGTGAGCATTTCATGGAACTCAAACTTAAGTGTGATTTTACAAAGTCAATATAGACAATATCAAAGCAATTATATTTTCATTTTCTTCTATTCATGTGCAGGGGTGAGGCTAATTCAGAGACGGTGTATCATTTCACTAACATATTATTTATTCTAACTATATCGAGAATACCATATATATTCAGATTACCCACAAATATCCTTTTCTCATTCTTCCAGGGACATTTTCTGGCCTATGAAAGAAAGAGGACTTGCAGTGGGGAGCCCAGGAGACCCCTGGGGGCGTCTTGCTGGAATTAGCAGATGCCAACAAAAGCAGAAAGCTTTCCTTAAACTGAAATCGCTTTGGTCCAGGTAATGTCAAGATCACAGTGTAAGAAAACTCAGATAATGAGCTGGAGACATTACAAATATCTTTCCCCATCACCTCTTCTTCAATCAGTGTTTATTAGTAGCCAGGTTGGTGGGGGAGGTTAAAATCAAATAGCAGGAAATGATGTCTTTTGATGGACTCTCCTTTTTTCCTTGCAGAATTGTTCTGGGGGACGAGTTGGGAAATAGATCATCGATGCACTATTGTCTGATAGGAATTCAAACCGCAATCTATCATCAGATTAGAAAGGTTAAATTAAAAAAAAAAGAAATAGAAGATTGGAAACTGTGAACTGTTGCCTCGAATTCATATCTGATAACTCAGCTGTTTTTGTGATGGAACATTAGAGACATGTGGCCCAGACCGTCTGGCCTCCTCATGGGTGAAATCAAGGTTTTTCTAACTTCCAACTGTGAGTCAAAAGCCATCAGGAGTCAAGGTAAAATTTCCTTGTTTTTCAAGTGAGCTCTAACTGGGGGGTCTTCTGTCCATGCTGAGGTGTCCTGGAGCGCTACACATAGTCATACTTGGAAGGATGAGATTGTACCTCGTCCTCTGTGTGGACACCCCCTTCGTAGATCTTGTTTTTGCTCTTGGGCCCAAAGCCAGTGCTGGCCTTGAAGCCTCCGGGCTTGTAGGCGACATTGTGGCCGGAGGCATGATAGGACACGGCTTTGTAGCTGAGAGAAAAAAGAAACATTCCGTGACCACAGATGTATTTGGTAAGAGGGCGACCCACTCCGTCTACCCTGGGATGTTTCAGTTTAGCACTGCAAGTCCAGCATCCCAGGAAACCCTCAGTCCTGGGCAAACTGAAATGGTTGATCGCCCCAGGCTTTGAGACACTGGTTTTTCTCCCTCTGCACTGGAGCAGAATTTCTTGCCTTGTATTAGAGCCAGTAATTAGTGACTAGTGAGTTCCTTCTGTTAATCAATTAAAATAAAGCTGAACCAGAAACAATGTCCAGGGGAACATGGTTATGCCAGAAAAATCACAGAATTTGTGAGCTGGAAGGCACATACACGAAGCCCATCTCCTCTAATCTGCTCAGTTTATGGGTGAGCTAACAGAGAAGGCAAATGATTTACTAGAAGTCACAGGACTAGTTAGCAGTAGATCCGGCCCAGGATCCAGGTCTCCCAGCTCCAGGTCCATGTAGCGGGGTACAGTGGGGTTTCTCTGCAGCGGGACTTTGGCTTGCAACAGATGCCTCTTTGTCGTGAGGGCCTCTCCTGTGCATCATGGAAGGTTTAGCAGCATCCCTGGTCCCCCCCTGACTAGATTCCAGTATCACCCCCACCCCACCCCAAAGCTGCAACAATCAAGAGTCTTCAGCTGTTGCCAAATATCCCCTGGTGGGCAGAATTGCTTTCAGCTGAGAACCACTGAGTTACAGAATCCTGAAGTCAGAGGGAACCTACCGCGATATTTTTTTTCCTCTCAAACAGGATCATTCCTAAATCGGCTCAGCTGAAATGTTCCTATTCTGTTCTTTAGGTTCCCCATAAAAGAGAAGGTTCAGCAACATTTAGTTAATAAGTTCTTCCATAAACCTACACTGATCATTCTGGCTGCAAATTATACTTTAAAATGGACTCGGATTAAATGTCTGATTGCACTGGGATGGGGAGACTCACTTGGTTTCCTCAGGTGCCAGGCCCCGGCAGGCGATGCACATCATCACACCCCCAATTAGTGTGAGGCCCCCGGCGACCCAGCCCACGAACAGAGCCGAACCAAAGGTGTACCTGAAGGGAAAATGAGACGAAGAATGTGGGCAACTCAACCCTCCAGGCTCCACCTACTGCACTTGGCCACACGCATCCTCTCTGTCAGCTCTTTTGGGTTCCACACCCATCCCTGCCCGTGCTGCTGAACACACTCTCCTTTGGGTCATGGCCAACTGAATGAGGTGCCCTAGAGAACAGAATTGGGACTGAAGCTAGTCAGCAAAACAGCAGTGGGATTCTCGGGCCCCTAGCATCACTCAGGCATGGAATTAATTATAAGTCTCTAATCTCAGAGAAACATCTCTGGAAATCCACCTCCCTCCCTATTGTCATTGGGAGTGTCTCAAAGGTTTGGCAAGAGGAATTTGAGAGATGTGGAATCAGTCTGAAGTTATTATTTCTGAAGGAATTTTGGAGTTCTTCCTGTGGGCCAGTAAGCTTTCATCTTACCTATCAAGTACCCTGGTAGCCGTCCATGCAGGTAGGAGCATTATCTTCAGAAAGAACTAATGTGAAGTGACCATTCATTCTTTCATTTATTGTTTACGCATCTGTTCAACAAGTATTTATTGAGCTCCTACTACGTGCCTGACACTGCCCAGGCACTGGGACACAGGGGCGAACAAGATAGACACAGACTCCACTTTCCCAGTGGTTCTGTTCTAGCCCACACTGAAGCTTAAACCTGTGGTCATCTGACTCCAAAGTTGGTACCCTTCCCCTAGGAGGGATGCCTCCATGGGACTTGTTACCTCTGAGCAGGATTGTCTGAGAACAAAGTGTCCTGAGAATAAAATAATTCTGATTCCAAATGGACCTTTGTGGGTGGTGAACACTGTGACCAAAAAGTGTTAGGAAGTCAATGGGTATTTTAGTGTTAGCTGGTAACTTTCCCTTCCCTAAGCTGGTGTCTCCTAGAGCCCAGCAGAAAAGGAGAGCTCAGCACAGTGGATACCTGCCGATGGAGGTTTTCCCCTTGGGCTCATCAAGGAGCGTGGGACTGTTTGTGGAACACCATGAATCACTGGTATGTTTAAAAATCACAAACTAAGAACATTATACCAGTAGTTGGAAGACAGAAATATGTATGCAGACCTCTGCAACCTAAGAAAATAAGATATTTTGGATGTGCTTAAAAAGTACACACATTTTAGCAGGATCAAAGTAAGCCATATAAGCAATATAAGCCTGATGACCAAGTGTAATATAATATAAAAGTTGGTGATTAATTCAGGTTATAAAAGGAAATGTTTAGGCTAATACGAAACACCTCACAAGCTGCATATAGCATGAAGGCAGGCAGTTTGTAGGTCAGGTATACTCAATGCAGCAATAGCAGAGGATGGGATACCAGAAAGCCAAATGGGGTACCAGAAAGCCCCTTCAACTGATTGCCAAGATCTCTCTTGGCAGCTGTGCTGTCTTGTGTGATTTCTGGGTAGAGAGGATGAGAAGACAGAAAGAAGGGAAAAGCTGCGCCCATCCATGGAAGAAGGCATTCAGGAGGCCTCTCATAATCCTATAGTCTTGATCTCAGGACTGAATTTGGCTGCCCAAGGGATGGGGCAGGTTCTAGGGAGATGGTGTGGGAGAATGATGGAGGGCATTAGTCTAGGTGCCAGTTGGGTGGGTGACTCCTCTGGGCAGAGGCAGTGACCCTAGGTACCCAGATACTCCAGATAAGGTGGGATCTTCTAAGTAGGCTGACCAACCATCCTGATTTGCCCATGAAAGAAGAGTTTCCCAGGATATGGGACTTTCAGTGCTAAAACTGGTAAAGTCCCAGGAAACCCAAAATGAGCTGGTCAGCATACTTCTCAGTTGTTCTTGTAACCAAGAGATGATGGAAAGATCACAGAGGAGGATGGGGGGAGCTTATGGGGATCATTTCCTCCTCTCCCGAAACAAAGCAGGAACATGGATTGGGACTAGAGTTCCAGGGAGCCAGAGAGTAATGGATTCATCACATCTTCATCCCCTGTTTGTATCCCATGATGGTGTGGCTGGAGAAATACCAAGTGTATCCACTCCAGAGATGATGGGTCACTTAGATATAATATTTATATCACTCTCTCAGAATCAGATCTTTCTTCCTCAAGAATTTGCTGCTGCTTCTTGCTTTGAAATACATCCCTTTGAAGTGGCTAAATGAATATGGGTGTCGGAATTGCTCTTCCATCATTTAAAAGTTCTACCCTCCTTCAGACACCTTCTCCCTCAGCTAGACCATAACCTCCGTGAGGATGGGGACCTTGTCTTATCCCCAGCACTCAGAACAGTTGCTGGCCCACAGCAGGTACTCCATACATTTGTAGAATGAATGCATGTGTGAATGAGAGGAAGATGCAGCTGTACAAGGAAGACACATAACATTACTCTTCTCACCTGTGCTGCACCTTGCTCAATTCTACTCAAGCTTTCACCTGTCCCTAGCCTGGTTCCCGTCATGACCTGGAGATGCGGGTTGAGGCTCATTTACATGCCTGGGCTAATAGTGCCTGTTTCATTGCCACCACAATGGGGCTTGTGTAAGCATGCTAGATAAATACTGTGAACTGTCACTGTATTTCAATGCAAATGTCAGCTCAGCCTCAAGTCATAGCACCAAGGATATTTCACTGAAATGAAGTTTATGAATTTACAGATCACAGTTGATTTATGATATGGCATGGTTGCCTCTGATAAATTTTTGCTCTTTCAGGCGCTGACAGTCACATTAGGCATATGTGTTTAATAGGATTTTTACAGCAATATTCACCACAGAATACTAAGACTAGATTAGGAGGTTACCTGGTCTGAACGGTCTGCACCATCCCACCCAGGCCGGTGTACATGTTAGCTGTAGACATCCAGAAGTTAGTAACCAGCATGTTGGCAAATACAGATACTCCGGCGATTGCACAGAGACCTGCGGGCCAAGAACGAGAAAGCTCTAGAGTCAGCTTTAAAGGGATCACAGTGTTTCTGAGGCAATGTGTGCTTAAGTGAGTTTAGATGAGCAGACTGGAGAACATTCCATTCCTGTAACAGAATGGCTAATCCAAGCATTGATATTGAATTCCCACTATGTGCTAGACATTGTGTTAGGTGCTTAGACTCTCTTATCTCTCTAATTGTGGAAGGATTTGTATGTGTGCAGAAAGAGATTTTCCATGCATCTTGGGACAAGAGATTAATAATACAAATATTTTGGGCCTGGTCTTTTGATGATGTCAAGTGCTCTTCCTTTAAAATCATTTTTCTAAAGTCTTACCAAAATAATGCCTTTAGGGACTGAGTCACATGACTCCCTTAGGATTGAGAATCTCTTCTAATAAAGTGGGGTGGCAGCTAAGGGGGACCTTAACACTCATGACAATTCTGTAGCATGTAATTGGGTCCTAATCTTAGATCTTGAATCCCAGTGTGTAAAGCTCTGATCCATGTTCAAACCATGCTCAGTAGGGAGAAGCCGTGTTTCCTCTGCCAGAATGATTTTGCTTTGACACTCCCAGAAGCCCATTTGAGAGAGGGAACCTCAGCTCCTTGTTCACCTGAGATGATGAACATGATCCCAGAGGTCAGTGTCATGTTGGCTTTGGCGGAGTCCTCCATGCTGCCAATGCGGATGCACTTCAGGGCAAAGATGGACACCAGGAGGCTGATGGCACCCAGGACGATGCCCACGATCATCAGGGCTCGCACTGCCTGCAGCATGGCTGTGGGACAAGGGACAAGACACAAGCTGACAGATAAGACCACCTCTACATGATTGATGAGGCTTCGGTTCAATAAAATAAAGCAACCACAATCAACAAGCACCAAATTCCTGAGAAATAGCAAGTCCATAAACTGTGAACTTTGTCATCGCCAGGGGATGTGGAATTGTGAGAAATGCAAAACTACCATGTACAATCCTCTGATTGTTGAAGGACCTGCACACAGTTGTCTGTAGAATGAGAACATTGTGGAGCTGGGACAGCCAATGGAATTTAGCTATTTCATTTCCTCATTTTATTTTATTTTATTTTTTAAAGATTTTATTTATTTATTTGAGAGAGAGACTGAGAGAGAGAGCACATGAGTGGGGGGAGGGTCGGGAGGGTCAGAGGGAGAAGCAGACTCCCTGCCGAGCAGGGAGCCCAATGCGGGACTCGATTCAGGGACTCCAGGATCATGACCTGAGCCGAAGGCAGTCGCTTAACCAACTGAGCCACCCAGGCGCCCTCATTTCCTCATTTTAAAGCTTGATAATCTGCAGTCTATGTAGAGGAAATGGCTTGGCCAAGGTGACATGAAAAATTATTGACAAAGCTTAACAGTAAAACTGTGTGGCTTTGACTTCTAACCCAAACATTTTTTTCCTCTAGTCTTTTCATATGGGCTCAAAGCTTCATATTGTCGTGTCCACTTTAGGAAAACCCAATATTCATTTATAGCATGTAATGAGCAAGGTTATTAGGTGATATATCAAGGGCACCATATTTTTGTCTCTTTCCAAAGGGACTGCTACAGTCAGGATGAGCTGTAGGTTTTAGGTGATATGTAAAGACTGCTATATCAATCACAGGCCTTTCAACACAACCAGTTTATCAGCAGTCCCTTCTCAGGAAGCAATGGAAACTGTAGGTCCTGCGGGGACTCTCCAGCAGTGACCTCTCTTCCAGATATATCCACAGTGGTTTCTAGTGTGTCCTTAATATGCAGTGACTCATCTCAACAGTTTTTTCTAAGCTCCTATGACTAGGCACAGGGATGACAGTAATTAATAGGTCAGAAATGGTCTCTGCACTCATGGATCTTATGTCAAAGTGGGGTAAGACAGTCATTAAACATGCCCACTATAAGCATAATGCATTTTACAAAAGAAAGACAAATGAGTCCTTGGTGTTCTCCAGAGGGAAGGGCCCCAAACATGGGTATTTCTGGTAGAGCAGAACTGAAGAATTGTGTGAAGCAAAGCAGAAAGCTCTGTCCTACCCTAGTTATCATAGCCAATTGTTATTTTTTGATTGAAAGCTATTAGTGGCTTTTCGGATATTAAAAAATTTAATCCACAGTAAAAAAAAAAACAAAACCCTTCAACGCAGATGATACGATTACCTCCATTTTAGAGTTGAATAAACTGAGAATCAGAGGTTAAGGAACTTGCCCAAGGACACATATCAAGGGACAAGCAAGAGCCGGGGGTCAAACCCAGAACGATCTCAAAATGGTTACTTTCCCCATCACAGTACATCACTTTGAGGTACCTAATTCTGAAAAGCAGGCTGCCATCAAGGTAAGGGGCTCTGTAAGCACCTAAGAGAATGTATCCTCCAAACTTGGAGACTCAGCCATGAAATATCATCCCCTCAAATGGATGCTAAAAATGTATAAAGAAATATTCTCTAAAAATCATCTCGGGGAATAACCTGTCCCAGCAGATTATTTCTAAATGTAACTCTCAAGACAAGGAATTTCCTGGGAGGAATTTCTCTCTAATCTCTTCACGAAGATTTCCATCTCAAATATGGCCAATATCATTGGAGCTGCCAGCTTATTCACTCTAAGGTGTGTATCACAAAGCAACTGGTTATGATGCAAGAATCGACAATCAATGCAGTCTGTTGAAAAAGGAGAGGTAGATCATGCAGAACTCAAGAGCCTTCTGCATTCAAGAGGAATGGAGGCCTGGGCAACTTTCTCACCAGATGTCTCTCTATGTGGAGATGGTAGTATTCAGCCACTCTAGTTCTACGCCACTTGATTCTGATTCTCTTCTCCCTGAAGAAACTTCTGATTTTAACTTTGCTTCTCTGCTGAGAAGAGAAATCTACACGTAGCCATCATCCATCTTGGTCCTATTGGCAACTATATTAGCAGAGTAAATATGCTGGTTTATGGTGTGGGTCGATTCTGCAGGATCTGACCATTCTTTCCTGGGAGAACTGAACTGATTAACATTGGCATCTTGAGATTACAGCTGAGTTCTCATGCCAGAGCCACGGTGACCCTAGTAGGGCAAAGAGAACTCAGGAGGGCCCTGGAGTGGCCGTTGGATCTACTCCTAATATAGGAGGGCTCTAGAGTGTCACCTGTGTTCTCTAAAGCCTTGCTCAAAGGCTTTGCTGGCCCTACAGGATACTGGGAACGAACACCCTACCCGGTTCATTCCCTTATTAACAAATGCAAGTGTGTGTCATCTACTTGTGTACTCATTTACATTTTTGTGTTTGCATCCAGCACATGTTGGTATATGCTCATAGTCATATGTTACATAATCATATGGCTCATCCATGAATTCATTCATTCATCAAGTATTTTAAAGCTCAAATTCTCTACAAAACCCTTTGTCAGATGCCATAGGAGGTATAAAGTTTCATGGAAAATAATCACTGCCTTCAAGCAGTTTAAGAACTGGGAAGATCATATTTTTACTGGAAATCCTGAACCTCAAATTTCTTTTAACTCTGGGGATACCTTGGCTAAGTAATAATAGACCCACTTTCTCGTAGTTGCTCATGATATGGTTCTAGTTCTCTTTAACACATATAATTACACCACAAGCCTGGTTCAGGACAGCTATGGAGAGGACATCTTGGCGGCAGCCCCAGACTTCAGGAAATATCCTCCAGGCTATACTGATATGTATGTTACTACCAGAAAACTGGACATATGGGAAGAGAAAGGGACTTGACTTTCTCTTCATCTTATCCCCATGGGCCTCTTGCGGGCTTCAAATCCACCCAGAAACCCGTTGGAGGTTTTAAACACTGCTCTCATTCTGACATTCTAAGCCTTAAACTATTCAGAGAACAAAATCACTTATCCCTTTGGAGGACCACCTGGCAAGGCATCTGGTTAAAACGACCCAAAACCAATCAACCAACCCACCAACCAAACAAAAACCAAGTAAACAATATTAACGAGGCAAGATAAAGGGTGTCCCTCCTTCTACAAGAACATTACATTTCTCCCGGCCTCTTGGTGTGGGTGGAGTCATCGGCTCTTTTGACTGAGTAGTTTTAATTTTTGTTCCTGAAAACATATCACCAGATGGCCGTGGCTGAGGCACAGGGTCTTGCCTGACACTGTTGGATTAGAAGACGAGACGGGCAAGTGGGAGGTGAAAGCACGGTGGGCTTGCCTCCTGTGGAGAGTTGCTGCTGCGGCGCCATGGGAGCCCTTGGGTACGGGAGCCCTGGCCAGCCTGTCCTGGTCAGCCTTGGTCTCAGGCTCTCAGAGGCCCTCTTGCCTCTGCTGGGTCACGTTTGCCTGACAAGGCCTTATTTCTTTCCTGCTCTCTCTTGATCTCTGGATTTCGGATGAATGCTGGCACCTGCTTTGAACCAACGGTCAACCTTCACCCTGAGCACCTTTTTATTTCTTAGACTCTGTTTCTTTTTTTTTTTTTTTAAAGATTTTATTTATTTATTTGAGAGAGAGAGTGAGAGAGAGAGAGAGCACAAGAGGGGGGAGCGGGAGAGGGAGAAGCAGACTCCCTGCTGAGCAGGGAGCCCGATGCGGGGCTCGATCCTGGGACTCCAGGATCATGACCTGAGCCGAAGGCAGTCGCTTAACCAACTGAGCCACCCAGGCGCCCTCTTAGACTCTGTTTCTAGCTTACTCCTACCCCTTTCTTTTAGCCTGTGGTCAGAAAAGACACAACATTGTTTTATATCTTGTGGGACCACGTCCAGAGTCCCAACAGTGGGCCTGGATGGATGGACCAAGGTCTGCCTTGCTTTGGAGATTCCTGGAGGGGTTCTTCTGAGAGTGGGAGCTGTGATGGGGGCAGCTTCCAGGAAGTGGGAGGAAATGTTCTCCACTACTCATTGCTAGAAACCCCTTATGTCTAGTAATGACCATGGAGATGCATGCGGGTGACCTCGACTTCCTTTCCCTCTGGAAGATTCTACCATCTGGAGTTCTAATCCTTCATAGATAGGTAACCAGAGAAACTGCTCCCAAAGGAGGTAAGTTTCTCTTTTAGCCACTCTGTCTCTTATTTGCTATTCCAAGCAGGAGGCATATAGGCTTATCAGCTGATAACAGGTGAGTCAATGGCTCTGTAGACTGATTCCCTGCACCAAAGGTGTGACTACAGCATTCTTTCCAGTGAACAATGAGGCATTATCGGGCTTGAAGGGTGGATGGGATTCAGGGCTGACAGAAGCAAACAGAAAAAACAGGAACTTGGTGTTCCCTCCCTGTTGCAAAATATCTAATTCCCCCAAACCAGCTATGAACTGACAGGTAAGGTGCCTTTGGGTGTGGTTCCCAACCCAGGTTGTACCTTAGCATCCCCTGGGGGAACTTCTAAAGAAATGTTAAATGTTTTACCTCCACCCCTAGAGATTTTCATTTAATTGTTCAAGAACATAAAATTTCAAGGAATAATCTGGGAAAACAGCCCTCCAAGGGCTCAGGAGGAGGTGCTTAGAGTGGCTGGCGAGTTGAAACAGTTCCCAATGGCTGACATCCCTGAGCTAGATGGGGATGGGCTTACGAGACAAAGGCCTGATCTGGGGCTTTTGTTAGTGGCGGTTAGAGAGGACCCACGCTTCAGGCACAGAGTGGCTTCAGATTGGAGGCAGGGAGGGCTGATGGAGGATTCCAAAGAAGGGGAGCCCAGAGGAGGGAAGTCTGAGGCCAGACCTCAGAGAATAGGTCCTTCAGAACAAGGTGGGAGGGGCCTAGATTCTCCTGAGATCTCAGGGAACCAATATGGAAGTCC